AATGAAAAATTTCATGCCTGGAAATACTAGGTCTATGACACATTTTCCTGTCCCTCTGTGTTTTAGTCTTTCTAGTTAATGACAGAAAAGAAAACATCCATTCCATCATCTGAAAATGAAATTATTCCACCAGCCATCAAATTTTAAATAAATAATCAATAAAATCATTTCTAACAGTACTACTTGCATATACACTATTGTAAGAGATATATCCCCATTCCTAAAACAAAACTTAGATTGTGCTTCTGATTAAAGCATTATGACTAAACATAACTCACCATGCCATGCTTCAATTCAGAAACAAGGTACTAATACTAAACATAGTATATCTCCAAAACTTGATTCTGAATACTGTAACTAACCCAGCTTTTTATCTTCCAGCACCATCTCACCTATGAGTTATTCACAAACATTTTGTTAAACTCAAAATAAATAAATAACAAGATTCAAGCAACAGACTGACTTACCTGTATGATCTCTTTTTAACTTGCAAACCTTAAGTTGCCCCCTTTATAACTCGCCCTAAGCAATGCTATATACCTATTTATCAGCTATCTCGAAATAAAAAAAAAAATTATCAATTATGGCATCGAATCAAAGTAAAGCTAACTGATAGTCCCAAGAGTCGAGATTCAGTTTAACTAGGTCTCTGATGCCAAGTCAAAGTTCAGTCCCTAAAAACACATATCCACATACAGAAAGTGCTCAGCTTACACTCAAAAAATGAAGACCACATGGATGAGATGACTGCTACAGTCTCTCAGAGCTACACAGGCACTGAGGTCCAATTGATTCTAACAGAAAAGCAAATTAAAATTCTCACTGGTCTTCTTGCACGATGTATCATCTTGCACAAAAATGGTAACTCTCAAAAACAAGAATTCTTGACTGTATATATTTTCTTTTGCAAACAAACAAACAAAGTTCATCATCTACATCCTAAAGAGAGTCAGCAGCACCTGGTTCTTCACCACAAAAGCGCAAATCTCCCCAGCACCTTACAGTTAGATAGAGCGCTAAGGCAACACCAAGAACATGAGCCAGCTAGCAAGGCGACAGCAAGGTCAACGGCAAATTCAGAAAAAGGCTCTGTTGGAAGCTACAGAATTCATACTGCTTTGGGCCTCAGTTTCCCTATTTTCAGGAAAAGGTCATTAATGCCTTCAATAAGTACTTCAAAGGACTGTATCTAGATGCCTGGCGCCAGGACTTGACTAGATGACCTGTAAGGTCCCTTTCAGCCATGAATATCTTATAATTCTCCTAGCCACACTTAGGAGGCATTCTTTTGGCTCTGATCTGAAAATCTGGCTGGAAATATAAACAGTCTTCTGCATAAAAACACACACTTACCAGCTATAATTTTGACTTGGCAACATAAGGTTTTGCCAAAGCTGAGATGAAAATGTGCAGTTTTTTTTTTTTTTTCCAGTGATCATATTACTTCAAGCTACATGCTAGTTCCTCTCTAAAGGCAGTCTACATATGGCCAGAATGAAGCCAACTCCCTATTATGCCCAAGTTACCTTAGCACAAGGGAAGAACGTGTCCTTTATTTTTTTTTAACTTGCCAACAATTTTCCATACGAACAGTTTCAAAAATAACACACTCTTTCTACCAGATCTGGCCATTTCCATTTGGCAAATCCTACTTTATTTTCTATCTCCCTCCCTTCTGTTTTACAGAGAACATAAGCCAACACGGCAACAGGCTTTTTGTTTATTTCCTTCCTCTTCAAAAACAAAGCCACGGCTTGAGAGCATTTATTAGAACAAAGTCCACATAGAAAGACACTTTTTGCAATTTTATGAAAGCCTCATGAACTAGACGAGGATGGCCATGTTCGCCAGTTCTATTCAGCACAGTACTGAGAGTCCCAGCCAGAGCTGTTAGGAAAAAGGAAAAGTTAAAAGGAACCTAATCTGGAAATGAGAAATTAAAATTGTCCCTGTTTGCAGAAGACATGGTCATATAGATATATAGAAAACACTGAAAATGCAACAAAAGCCCATTAGAGTTAATAAATATTTTTAATACAGTTGCAGGATACAAAATCAACATTCCAAAATCAGTAGCATTTCTATGGAAGAAAAGCAGACTATTGGAACAACAAAGTCCCATTGATGATAGCTACAAAAATAAAACACTTAGGAATACATTTTAACAGAGGTGAAAGAGCTCCGAGGTGAACAATACATGATATTGATGAAAAAATCAACAGATTTGACTATAAAAATAGGTAACATAGTCTATTAATTAACCTATTAATTAGCTATTCCTGTTTGGAAAATCTATAACATATGTATTGTTATATTGTTGCCTTGTTTGTTTTTTTCTTTCTTTTTCTTTTTTTGCTTCTGTTTTTACTCTTCAAAATAAATAAAAGAAAACAAAGAAAAAAATCACAAAGGACACAAGCAAAAGGCATCCTGTTTTCAAGGAAGTGATGGAAAGATGTTTTTTTGTTTTAATGGGACTGAATGGCAAAGTTATACTATCCTTGCACTATTTTAGTTTTGCATGATGATTTTTATCATTGTATCAAAATCTCTGTACATAAAGCTATGTCAATTATACAACCTCAAATTCATTTTTATGTCATCTAATTATCAAAATTAGGTATGTTTACCTTTTTTTTTTTTTTTTTTTTTTTTGACTATAAATACACTCGAACCAAGTATGGCCTGATCACACTGCTGAAGGAGAATAGCTGTTCTCCTAGTTTTCTTTTCTTTCTTTCTTTCTTTCTTTCTTTCTTTCTTTCTTTCTTTCTTTTTTGTATTTAAGACAGACTCTACATGGTCTACAGGGTCTCACTATGTAGATTGGACTCAGAGTGACAGAGTGATTCTCTTATTTTCAGTCTCCAAAGGGCTGGGATTACAGGCATGCACCACCACGCCCAGCCTCAAGCACCACCTCAGTGAGCCCTGAGGGGCCGGCACTGCACACTGGGGATGGAATCCTGGCCTCTGCGCTCTGCCTAAGCAGGTGCTTTAGTACTGAGCTGTCAGACCACACCCTACTAGCTATCAAACTCAAGTTTTCGCTCTTAGGTTAAACAACTTTAACCAAGGTAAAGATTTTAAAATGCAACAAAATGCTTTCCCTAGCAATCCTGGGGAGTGAGTGAGTGAGTCTTCAAATTGTGCACAGTAAACAGTATGCAGAGAGTGCCACACAGTAAGACTAAAAGTATAAAAAAAAATAATAATAATAAGGGTTTGTTTTTTGCATGTACTTATAGGGAAAGATAAGTCACTTTTGACAAAGATTCTACTGCATAATATAAACATAAATGTTGTAGAACTCTTGGCTTACTGAAGTCAGAATTTTGGTTTAGTTAGCTTAGAGCAAAAGAAACACAGGAAATTTGTGATATTAGGTAAAGTATAAAATTTGTCAAAAAAAGTAAATAAAATAAAAGTTTGTCATAAGACTGTCACTGGTAGCACATGCCTGTAATCCAAGTGCTTGGGAGGTGGAAAACAGGAGGATCACTATAAGTCCAATCTCTGCAGCAAGACCGTGTAGGCCCTGTACTAATACATTATGAAATAACAATAATAAAAAATGTTTGTCATAGTATTCAAAAGATCAAGGCTCAAAAGTGAACTAAAACTTGGTGACTACAACTGCAATTGTGACAGATCAATACTATTAAAAATTTCTTCTATTGACATCAATGCCATGAAAATCTCCACAAAAAAACCTATATGGCATATGCCTTTTTCTTCCCACTCAAGTCTTTGCTTAAATGTCACTTTCTAGGTGAGACCTTACTGATCACGCTCACCCCAGAAAGCTGAGTCCTTGTCCCTACTTATACGCCACCCTCTGTACGTCAGCATGCGCACGTTGTCTGTATCCACTGATGCACTAACAGCTAAGTTTCATGAGCACAAGCTCTATCTATCCTCTTTGTTACACATCTTCTAGTACCTCAGTAATGGTCATAAAAGGAGGCAGATATTTGTGGAATAAATGCATCAATTCTTCCTTTATTACCCCTAACCCAATACTTACCGAACATATGCAAGTACACAGACTGACTTGCTGAAACAGTTCATTCCTATGACTTTTCTTCCTTTAAATATTTATTGTGCAATTTTAAACATGTACAAGGGTAGACTGCACCCAGTAGTTATAAACTTGTAACTGATAAACTTGCTTCTGTTCTCATTTCATAGTTTCATACTCTTGCTATTTGAAAGTAAATATCAGATTATATTTTATTTTATCTGGAAAAAGTACAAACACTTCTTTAAAGAAATGGGTCTCCTATTTTGTCCTTCAAGATATCTATACTAACATCACCATATCTAAGAATAAAACAATACTTCTATGATTTTCTGGTACATACGACACATTGAGCCTAAACAGTGGCACTAGTCATTAGATACCTATGATCAGTCTAAGAAGTAATTCTAATGTCACTTCTTTGCTTAACCCTAAATTGCTTTGCAACCTCCGCTCACTGGAACACCATACTTCTATATAACTAATGCATATCTAAAACATATACGCTTGCAGTTATGCATCAGGAAATCCTGATCCTTTGATCCTTTTTGTTTTTGCTTCTGTTAGAAAGATTTGCTGACAAATTCAGATCCACACTGACCAAGTAGTCTTAAAATATCTGCCTTCCTCATCTAGGATACAATGTTTGTGGATGGAGTGGGTAAAAAGGGCTATAGAAAGGCCTGTGTGTCCCTGAGTTAAAGAGAAAATGTGGACTTCTCAAACAGCATTCCTAAAAAATTGCTTTGGGTTTTGAAACAAAATTAGTAGGTAAAAAGATTTTAAGGGCTTCCGAGCGTAAGCCAACAGAACACTGAGAAGCCTGGGAGGTGCATTCTGTATTAAGTGCTTTAGCTACTTGCAAACCACAAAGCTCTGAATAGGCCCCGGACAAGTGTTTGTCCACCGCAGAAACAATCAGTGAATTCATGAGCTTCCAAGCTGGGCTGATGAACATGGCATCAACCATCGCTCTTACCTGCACTTTGAAGACACCTTCGTCAAGGGGTGGTGGAGGAGGGAAGCTTCCCGAGCCAGATGGAAGAATGCTGGGATCCTCCAGAGGTGGAGGCGGGGGTGGCAGGAAGTCACCTGCAGAAGGAAATCCACACAGAAAGTTAACAGAGATGCAGTTTTATGATAATCTTTTAAAAGACGTATTTGCTGGCCTGTTACTTCCTTGTAGTTGACTTTGACATGTACTTTTTTTTGCCTTGGATAGCAATTCTTTCCTATCTGAGCTCTCCTCAGTTTAATTAATTGCCTTAACTTTCTAAGGAAGAAGAGATTCGATATTCACAAATGGCACAAAAAAAAACTAGCCTTGGGAGGCATGTTTTAAAACTTCAGTCAAAGGAGAAAATGGGCCTGGATCAGGGAACAAGATTCACAAATTGTGTGAGACTTGCTTGCTCAATAAATCTGGAATTACATAGAGAAGGGGAAAAAAAAAAACATAAATATAAGCAAAGGAAATACAAAGGTGATGCACGAGAAGTACAAAGCTCAGAAAATCTGAAAATCGGGCCCGGGGAGATAGCTCAATAGAATAAGCATTTGCCTAGCAAGCACAGGGTCCTGAGTTCAATCCCCAGTACCTAAAAAAAAAAAAAAAAAAAAAAAAAGCAAATTTGAAAATCAACATAAAATAGTTTATATACAGGAGGAAAAACAAGAGGGGTGGTACTGGATTATATAACTGTCCGTGAATTTTATGGTATATAGAGCAGCTGTATTCTTGGCAGAAAGACAGGGAACATAGATATACCAGCAAAAAAAAGAAAAAAAAAAAAAATTCAAGGGCTAGAGAATAAGAAGTGAGTCATAAAACTGCAATGTATTGAGAAGTAAAATAATATTACTGGGTGATAAAAATGAGAAAAGCACGGCGGGCCAAATAGCTCAGCAGATTAAAGCGCCTGCAAGCAGGCACAGGGGCCTGGGGTTGGATCCCAGGCCTGCCATGCCAGCCCCGCGCCCCTGGGGCAAGCTGAGACAGCGATTGAGACTGGGTGTGGTGGCACACACCTGTAATCCCAGCATTTGGGAGGCTGTAAACAGGCGGATCACTATGAGTCCATCTAGTGGTGAGACCTTGATCACCCTGTAGATCCTTCACTAAGATACAAAAATACAAAAAAGAGAGAGAAAAAAGTGAGGAAGCAGTGTACACTAGAAAAGAGGTTAAATTTTACCATGCATGGAAGGTTTTTAGGTTAAAATAGAATTTACTAATGTTTAAAAATACATGCAGCATAGAGGAGGAGGAGAAATGAGTATAAGAACCAATGGAAATCTAAATACAATCCTGGCAGAGAGTAACGAGGCATAGTGTACCAAGAAATCCAACATTTCTGACCACCAAGAGCCATTGTTAAAAATACATCTAAACATTCCAATCTGAGATATAAACATACACCGATGAGCTCCCCATTTCATGATGTAGAATCTTTTAAGAGTTTGGGAGAGATTTTATTGCATAAACAAAAACTGCGTCTTTTAACACTTCTTAAGATTTTCCTCTTGCTTTTAAAAACAATGTTCCTGGGGTTGGTAAAAGGGCTCAGTGGTCTAAAGCACCTACTTAGAACAAGCTTAGCAAAGCACAGGGACC